CCTTAATCCACTTGACTATCCCGACCGGACATAAGGAAGTGATAGCTGAAGCTATTTGAACCACTGCCCTGCCGGCACTCGGATGGTAATCTTGGGCTTAGCATTTTATCAAATCACCTCATTCTTTGGGGTACACGTGAGGAACACAAATGAGAAAATGCCTGAATGGTCCCCAGGACAATATGCAACTGAAAACTCACACCCCAGAAGTGACTTGAACCCATACTGCCAGGAGCAACGCAACTGGTATGTAAAGGACGCATTAATCCACTTGACCATCGCGACAGGACATAAGGAAGGGATAGCCGAAGCTATTTGAACCACTTCTCCGCCGGCACTCGGATGGTTATCTTGGGCAAAGCATTCTATCAAATCACCTCATTCTTTGGGGCACACGTGAGGAACACTAATGCGAACAAGCCTGAATGGTCCCCACAACTATATGCAACTGAAAACTCACACCCCAGAAGTGACTCGAACCTATACTGCCAGGAGCAACGCAACTGGTATGTACAGGACGCATTAATCCGGTTGACCATCACGACCGGACAAAAGGAAGTGATAGCCGAAGCTATTTGAACCAACCTCCCTGCCGGCACTCGATTGGTGATTTTGGGAATAGCATTTTATCAAATCCCCTCATTCTTTGGGGCACACATGAGGAACACAAATGCGAACAAGCCTGAATGGTTCCCAGGACTATATGCAATTGAAAACTCACACCCCAGAAGAGACTCGAACCCATACTGCCAGGAGCAATGCAACTGGTATGTACAGGACGCCTTAATCCACTTGACCATCACTACCGGATACAAGGAAGTGATAGCCGAAGCTATTTGAACCACTTCCTCGCCGTCACTCTGATGGTAATCTTGGGCATAGCATTTTACCAAATCACCTCATTCTTTGGGCACACTGTAATGACCACTTACCCTGTCGTAATAACCGTGGCCTCTATAGTAATAACCCAATGTTCCCCAGTTTTATCCTGTTATCTTGTGATCTCTCATAATGGTACTATACGCTCTTTGTTGTAATTCTCTATCTCTCATCACTCAATACCCCAGCTTAACACTGTTACAGCCCAGCATGTCCCCTCACTGGACTGCCACGTAGGTAAGAGGAATATTAAATGAGGAAGAAAACCCCAAGGACAAGGGTTATTAGTTAAAAAAATAAACAATAACAACACTCATTAAACTGCCACCACCTTCCCGACCAACCATACCTGAATGTGTCTTATCACCGATCCCCCAGGAAGGCAAGGAATCAGTAACCATGGGACTCCGGGTAATATGACTTTCAGAAATAAATTTTGGAAAATTAGTTTGTGTAATTTACGTTACTAATTTAAATCCAAGGGCAACTTTAGTATCGATTAATTGTAGGAGAACCTGGGGGCTTCCAATACAACACCTAAAAATGACAAAGTAACAAAATATATCAAAGGGGAGTTAAGTGAATACCACTGGACAAGCTATACAATTTATTTTATGAAACATGTAAATTAAGACAATTTGAACACATAACCTATTCTATTCCCTAGAGGCACAATGGATATTTATTGAGGGCACGAAACTCAAGTGCTACTATACTTTAAATACCCGCACCTACGGCCAAGATGTTGATGGCTGCCCTCAGCCCCTAGGATACGGGCTTGCGGCCCTGTTCCTAATACACTCCCAAGACACACTGATGAAATTTGGTTTTACCAGCTTATTGCTGGGAAGGATTACTCCTCCCACCATCTAATACAGCCCCAGGGCTCCACCCATAATTTTGGCAATGGCCAACCATTTAACACGTAGGCCTGAGGTCTGGCTCTCTAGGGCCAATAAGGACTTGGCCCTTATCTCAGGCCAATCACCTTCACTGATCTGCTGTGGAAAGCTACATGAATTCCTGAAGATTGAGTCAGCTCTCCCCAGCTATGAGAAGGGAGACAAGGCGCCTCTATGGGGCCCCAGTGCACCTGCGAGCAATGTTTACAAAACTGATAAATTATGTTCAAGCTTGTCTCCTCTAAGATATCGAGTAGGGACATTTGACTCTGCCTGGTATTGGGAAGAGGCCGGTGAGAGGGGAAGAGAGGGGATGAGAGGGGGATGGAGAGGGAAATTCTGAGTGGGGAGTTGATTGGGGGGGGGGAAGCCAAGGAGACCACCCTCAGGTCAACCTCTTGACCTTGACAAATGGGCGACAGGGGGGGGGGAAGAGGAGGAGACAAATGACGGCCAAGGGGAGGGGAGAAGGAAGGATGGGAGAGGGAGAAGGAAAGGAGGGAGAAGGAGAAGGAAAGGAGGGGAGAACTAATGAGCTGAGCCCCAGATCATTACAACACGTTAGTAACACAAATGCGAACAAGCCTGAATGGTCCCCAGGACTATATGCAACTGAAAACTCACACCAAAGAAGTGACTCGAACCCATACTGCCAGGAGCAACGCAACTGGTATATACAGGACGCCTTAATCCGGTTGACCATCACGATCGGACAAAAG